TTTATCCCGAATGAAATTGTCCATCTTTCATTCTGGACAAAACCATTCATTAATTTTTTTTTAATTCCATAATCAGAACTGAATATCGAATAGTGCAGACCACAAACAGACAGATGTACCGGTTAATCTTGGTATGCACTGATCGCATGATCCGACAGTCTGGCATTTTTTTCGAACATAATATAGAATTCTATTCCACAGTTCATACACATTATATTGAATGTCTAACAAATTGAAATGTAACAAAGGTGTTTCTGATGTTTATTATGCTCCCCGAAGTCGAAACTTTGTCCGTCCTTCCGTCTGCTTTTCTTGTTCAGGACATAACTCTGAATCTACACGAGGTATCAATAAATGACTTTGTAAGTAGATAGATCATCTCTTGGGTACAAGTGATTATGCACATCGTTTAAGGCTCGACTCTATGTATATGTTAGTGTTCATCCGTGCTGTTCTACAGAAATTAGAAACTTCGACGGGAGCGATAGCGACAGGAGAATGTTTCTAATTTCTGTAGAACAGCTAAGGATGAACACTAACATATTTAGTGTCAATCTTTATTTGGCCCTTGATTACGTCACTACGTGGTACTATGAAACACTATGAAAAATAGAAGGCGACTATGAACGGATTTCAATATAGTATCGACTTTTTTTCTTCTATGAAAATAAACACACATAATTTTTAAGAAATACAGCGTTTTCATTGGATGACAAATAAAGCTAGACACTAAGTAGTAATTGAGGGCTGTCCTACTCAACCAGCGTCGCTGACCACGTACAGATTTTTCGATAAAAGTTTGTACGCAATAAAATCTTCCTCACTATAACTGCTTTATTTATTAAATTATTAACTTAAATTTATAAGTCTAGCGTCTAGATTTTTATAATCATTTTCATTTGGAACTTGGATTTCATTTGAAAACCGTTATATTTTTATAAACATAATTTCCTCAGGCTGGGAAATTTAAACATTACTATGATACAAAAAAAAATCTCCAAAGATTTTAGTTCATGTCTTCCACAATGGCATAATTGAATGGCGGTGGCCCTTCAGTATGTTGCTGGGGCTCTAATAGTGGACTTTTGTATTACTTGCAGTAATTTGATAATTTTGTTGTTCGTTTTAAAAATCCTCTTATATGCATGCCTTTGTCAGTTATTAAATATCCTGGGTTTAAATTTTTATTCCAGGACTATTAAAAGATGTTTTCATGTCAAGTAAGTCTTTTATATATATCCATATATTTGTAATATATTGTTGCATAGTTTATATATTTCTATCCTTTTCTGATTTTCTTTTAGCAAAAATATTACTGTCATTCTTGTTGTTATTGACTGAATACTTCAAATCCCCATAATGCCCAAGAAATGCTTTTACATGTATTTTTATTTCTCAAAAGATCTTTAGGTTTTTTTTGTCCTGTTATATTTCTACATAAATGCTCACTGACCTATTACCTTAACCCTCATTTGCTTTTGTTGATTTTTTGCAAATTAGTACACTTATAGTGATTAAGCATTTTGAGTTAAAGTCAAAATACTACTTTGCTATTATATTTACAGTTAATTTCACTTTCATTTCAAATTTCTTCAGGTAATCAGCATTTAAAAAGCACTAAATTATTGATATAAACGTTTAAAACCCATCTATCTCCTTTCTTAATATTCGTTTTTAAGCATAATTTGTCTTTAAGCATCATGTATTTGAATGGAAGAAAACACATAAAATTATGCAACTAAGTCATAAAAATAAATTAATTTCATATAGATATAAAAATATGTTTAAATTATACATATATTTCACTCATAAACACCATCTCATTACACAACATACACTTTAAAAATATAAATCAATTTTGTAATAAATCATAATGCAACAATATAATGTACATTGTAAATCAGAACATAATTAATGTATATTTACAATGAATTAAACTTGTATCATTGCATTCTGTACATGTATATACTTTTCATAATCAAGTTATTAAGTTCTGAGTTTTTCTTGTAATGTTTGAATATTGTATTTTACATATGAATCAAAGTATTTTATATTATTTTACTTTTTTTGGAAGAGTTTTTGTATTAATTTACTTAACAAGTTAGATATCATACACTTCAATGTTGTCCTCTTGCGATCTGCTTATACATATCTTAGTCATTTGTTGATTACAACAGACTGAAATAATGTTCTTTTTTCTACTATCAGCTTTTACAACCTCTCCTATCAGCTCACCATCACATGTTAACTGTAAAACATTATTGGAGCCAAGTCCAGATACCAGGACACCACCTGCTTCAGTGAGATAACAACATGCAGCTTCATTTAATTGTTCATCATTAAATGATGTAATAACCTGGCCATTGTTGTCCAGTACAACCAGTCCATTATCAATGTCAGCAACATAAATCCTTGTAGCATCCTTGCTCGCAGCTATACTGTATATATCAGAGAACAGAAAGTGTCCTGACTGATCCTTACTGAATTGTTTAAGCTTCCTACCAGACAATGTATACATATTAACTGATGTGCCAAGGTCTGAAATATATAAATTATTGTTTGCAAATGCAAGACCAACACATTTAAAATCAGTATTAATCTTGTTTGTTGTTTTCATTTTTCCTTCTAGAGAAATAAAATTAATTTCCTTTTGTGATGGAACAGTTACTGCTACCTGTGTGTTATTGATCATACACACTTGCCATGGCTTTTCAGGTATATCATAGTAGTCAGTTACAGTATAGTTGTGACATTGTAACCGTTTAAGCTTTCTGTTGGTGTTATCAACTAGAATTATTGTACCATCTTCAATACAGCAGGCACTGGTGATATAACAACTGTATATATCAGACTTAACTTTTATATTATATGATTGATTTCCTTTAAACTGAAATAAATTAACAGAAGTGTTTGTAAGTTTCTCTGATAATGTGCCAAGGGTTTTATTGTGTTCTAACTGTGTAAGAATTGCTCTATCAGGTTGAAACTCTATGTCTTCTACTGGACTGTTCATTTTGGCATGCTCCATATAATTGTTTGCAACATTTGCAGCATCCTCTGCCATCTTAACATAAACAAACACTTCAGCTTGGTTTGTGTTTGTAGATGCTAATTTATCATTAGCTGATGTAATCCTGGACTTATTTGCTTGTAGCTGTTTGAGACCATTTTCTATCTTGTCTTCAATATTTTTTACTTTATCTTCTATCTCATCTATAGAACTCTTCTCCAGCTTGTTAAAGACGTTTTCGGTAGTTTTCTGTGCGCATCGTTATGCGCTTCCAAGAAAGATAATCACGGATAATTACTCTTCAAATGAAGGTCAAGTTGAATAGTATTCGGATAAGTGTTTAAATTTCGGCTAAAAGCAAATAATGAGTAAATAATATAGAATAGATATTTCTAAATGTTTAAAAGGAGATCGGTTCAAAAGAATAAGCGGTCGTTTAGACAACATCACATAAAGGATTTCTCCAAGCATTAGTACGACAGCGTTGATGATAATTCTGCGCGCGTTACCCCACCCACTTGTGGTATAGTGACGAAAGTGCGTCGCGGCTTGATTACTGGCAGACAACAGGGCAAAGAAGTTTAAAATGATATATTTTAAAAGTGATGAATAAAAAACAATATTAAAGGTACTCCACTGAGTTTCAAAAGCCTAAAATCATAAAAATTATTTTTTTACACAGATCAGCTGGGACACATAAATCAGGAAGACATGAAAAAAAAGAAAGAAATTTACTCAGAAATGAATTGAAAAGTGTATTTTTGTGACATTTTTTATATGATTTGAGTGAAAAGCGTTTAAACGCTTTTCAATTGTGGGTCATATTTCACTACTTGAATAATTATCCTGGATAAACCGAGAGAGCAAATGATCTAAAATTTTGCACACAAGTAACTGATCTACATCTACATCAAACTCAGCATTAATCTCAAACAAATATTTCCAGTCTCGTCATGTCAAAAAACCTCAGTGGAGTCCCTTTAATATCTAAGAAATGTTCCGAATTTCATTATTTTCTTTGTAAATTTCTGAATACTTGCTTACTGTTACCCTAGATATGTTTTAAAAAGATATTCAGTATCATTTACTTAATATAACATCAAAAGAAAAAGAAATTTTTATTACAACATGCTTTTGTTGTATATTTGACAATACATTTAGTACAACACTGATATTTCTTAAGAAAGCGTGGTAATTTTGACAGTTGGCATATGCGGTAACCATGGAAACTGCCCGTTTACAAAAAACTAACACGTCAACATATATTTTATTTCTATTTTTGAATCCACCATCAAATGTTACTTGATATATCAATAATGTAGCAAATTCTATGAAAGAAATTTCTTGATAGCTTTAATTTTTTACAGAATTCATGTTTATTTTTCTCATTTTTTGTTTAGTTAAAAAGCATGAAAACTCATTTTTAAAAAAATATGTTCCAATTATCGTTTTTTTTATACAGAACCCTAAGATTAAGCAAGCTTTGTATAAAATTATGTTTATTGTGAGTGTAATAAGCTATTTTATACATTATTATAACACAGTTAGGCTATTTTGACAATTTTGAGATATACAGTTACCATGGAAACTGCCATTTTTCAAAAAATCCAACACGCCAACATATATTTTTCTTTTTCTTTTTGAATTTGTCATTAAATTTTACACAACATACAAAAAAATTAGAAAATCCTATGAAACACTTTTTTCAATATCTCTAATTATTCTCAGAATTCATGTTTATTTTTCTCATTTTTTGTTCGGTTGAGGAACATGGAAAACTCATTTTTTAAAGAAATATCTTCAGATTATCATTTGTTTCATACAGAATCATTAAATAAGGTTATCTTTGCATAAAACAATGCTCGTTGTGTGTTTTAAGCTATCTTATACATTTTCTATTCGTTATAACACAGTTAGGCTATTTTGACAGTTTTTAGATATACGGTTACCATGGAAACTGCCATTTTACAAGAAATCCAACACGCCAACATATATTTTTCTTTTTATTTTTAAATTTGTCATTAAATTTTACTCATCATACAAAAAATTTAGAAAATTCTATGAAAGGATTAATTTTTCATAAAACTGTAGAAAATGTCTTTAAGATGGTCATTGATTTCTTGACGGAATTTTCTGATAGCAGCCAGTATTTCTGCTTTCCTCTTTAGCAGCCTTTGTTTATCCTGTTTAAATCTATCAGATTGTTTAGCAAGGGTCTTGGCTATGTTTTTGAGTTTTCTTTGTATTACTGCGGATGTAACTTGGTACATATTTTTTGCATAAGTTCTGGTATGTAGAATGTATCCTTGCATAATCTGAAAAATAATTTCACACTGGTTATGTATATGAGGCTATGAGACGACTGACGAGATGATATGTTACTTTCCGTATCAAATCAGTATTTAAGATATACTATTAAGGTAAGACTTTTTAGTACCTAATATAATTCATATATTAATTGAGAAAATAATCTAATAGTATGTTTACCTATGATCAACTGCCATACATGTAGAACAGCCAACATTATCATGGTTATGGCAATACATATCAATGGGTTTATGACCGTGTCTGTCACATCTCCCTGCTGGTGCCCTCGGCAGACCTTTACTGGTTCCTGATTTAACTTGGGATTTATCCAACACCTTGTGACCAACTAATACAGGTACTTCATTGTGAACTTGAACACAAGCTCTACAAAAGTAATCGTGGCAATCTACACAGAATTTTTCGCCTTCAGTATTTTTTCCTTTATCTTTACACATTGAACATAATACATCAAATATTTCATCGGAAAGAATATCCGTATCTATTTGACTACCAGTAGCCATTTTGTAGAAAAATTTGTTCAATGTGTTATCTGAACTGTTTATTCACTGATAAAGTTGTCCCAATTCCAAATTTTGTGTCACAGTCATTTAAAACATGTTAATTTACAGCAAAACGTAAACACAGTTCTCAAGCTTTCAAATTAATTCTATGTTTAATAATCATCTCCAATTTTAGCTAAGTTATGTTGACTATCGTTGTCAATGACAAAAACGCCTCGTTTCAATGCACATAACTTCCAAATCGATAATTCTAAATGTTTACATAAGCTTGGTTTAACATTATCAGGGCTGGGAATCAAAACTGCGTCGTATCCTACAAAATGTAAACAAACGCCGCCATCTTGGAACGAAAAACGTATGTTTATGTTTATAACTTTTTTTGTTGGAAATGACTGAAAACCAGATATATGTATTAACACGCTACACTATTTTCCGCTTCGTTCGGTATATGTTGCTTGCAAAACTTTTTTGTAAAACAAAAGTTATAGCGAACTTGCATCTCGAAGCGGGGCAGAATTTTTATGAAAATGTGTGGATACGACGCAGATCATATTGCTTTATCTATCGTTTTTTTCCTTCAAATCAATTATATATTTGTTTCAGAGTTCACCATAAACTTCGAAATATAATTTTGCATCATTTACTAAAAATTTCATTAAAAAGAGATGTTTATTTTTTAGAAAAATAATGATTTTTACGAAATGATACGACGCAGTTGAAAAATAAAATATGATACGACGCAGTTGTATTTTTGGCAGTCTTTTCAACAGGGATAATTTTGGCAAAATATTTCTATTTTATGGGATAATCACTTGCGCTAGATAAAAAAGCTCCAGATCATTTGCGGTGTATAGCAATGTTCTGTTGCTTTTGATTATTTAGAATAAATTGTGTCATGTCCAATATAACATTTAATTTGAAATTTTACATTGCTACCTTTCAGTTAAACATGAACATGTTACCTAATTGATCATAAAATCTGAAATAATTTCTTATATTTTCCTGTATGTTCAATATTATCCCTAAATCTTTTTCGCGAAAAAAATGTATAAATCTATTTAATATAAACTTGAATTCATGTTGGCTAGCTACGCTCTAAGTTAACTGTGGTTCTGCATGTTCTGGGTAATGACTGCTTTTTTGTGGTTTGTTTTCAAACTTTCACTCTACACATAAGCTTTACTAGGGGCGATGACCTCAGGTGCGCCTTTGTGCATTATTTCAGGCAAAATGTTGCACCTTCAGAGAACCATTGACATTTTGAAAACTAGCTTGATAGGTTTTCACACGAAAGAATAAAAAGTCCCTTGTAGTTTTCGCATTCATAGACGTTCAGTTCAAGTGATTTGAATTCAATAAACATAAACAACTCGGCCTCAGTCGGACACACCTGTCGGATTTGTTTTTTTCAACAAAATTTGTTAACGTCAGCTGTACAAATAAGCTGCTTTTTTTATTAACTTCTGGCGTGAAGTTTTAAGATTATAAATATTTGAATTAATGATAAAGAGAATAACATTTAAATTTCTTATTTCGGTATGACTAGCAGAGAAATTTTCAATGTAAACAGGGGGTAATCCTCTGTGAAGTCATTTTCTGAAAACCTTTGTTTAAGTTTTCAGGCAATTAATTATCAAATAAAAATCACACTTTAGTATGAAGGATGTCTCTAGTCTGTTTGAAAATTCGATGCGATAATCTGACCTAAATTTTCTGTTCAATATTGTGAAAACTTCTTCAATACTGTTGAAAGATCATGTCTGCCTATATCTGCATCAAATTTATCGGTGCACAGCGTAAAATACCTTTGCAAAACGGACACCTTCTTTACAAAATAATTTGTAGTTGTATCATATGTAACTCGATTTTGAAAATCTAAAGTTTTTTAATGGAGAAGAATGATACTTAAGCGCAAATATAGAAAATACATTCCGTAGACCTTTCCTCATCGGCGAAGAAGAAATGCAATACGACAAAATCAGAGGTAAAGTTCCGCGGCGCTGAACATAAAATGACTAAACGGAACGCATACTTGCAAAAATATCTTGTAGCTTAACCATTTACATGTATAATATAATTAAAAAAAAAATAATGTTCAGTTTCAAATAATAAAGCTCATCTGTTCTCACCGATTATTATAAGAAAATGAATACAATACAATCGGCACGTAAAAGACATAAGTAATAACGGAATTGACGAAAATTATTGCTAATTACAAGTAACAAAGGTAGGCATGCAATTTGCGCATAGCTCTCTTCCAATAGCAAGAGACCTTTTCAAAATTTGTAATTCTTTTTTTTTTTTTTTAAAACAAGGTTATTCCTGATTAATACTAGTACAAGGTCCAGGAGAGGTTACACTGGAATATTGAATTTTGTATCAAAAATAGTAATCACTCCCAATTCGAACTCACGGGAACAATTTTAGAAGCATGCTAAGGCAACACTGGAACACGTTGACATATGGGTGTGCGATCACGTGTTTCAATGTATATTGCATTTGATACAGCTTTTCGGAATTTTTACATGCTTATGATGGGTACATAAATGCGACCGAAAGATGCAGCCTTCATAGAATTGTATTACATTTCCATTTTTATGGAACCAATGAGTGACCTCTGCTTTTGACTTAAGTTGTAAACAAGAAATGTTGTTGGACGTTATTAGCATACCTAGCACATAATTTAAATAGTTTAAAACCAATATGCAGCCTGCAATGAAAAAACAACTGCGTCGTATCATATTTTATTTTCAACTGCGTCGTATCATTTCGTAAAAATCATTATTTTCTTGGAAAATAAACATCTCTTTTTAATGAAAATTTAGTAAAAGATGCAAAATTATGTTTTGAAGTTTATTGTGAACTCTGAAAACGATTATATAATTTATTTGAAGGAGAAGCGATAGATAAAGCAATATGAACTGCGTCGTATCCACACATTTTCATAAAAATTCTGCTCCGCTTCGAGTTGCAAGTTCGCTATAACTTTTGTTTTACAAAAAAGTTTTGCAAGCAACATATACCGAACAAAGCGGAAAATAGTGTAGCGTGTTAATACATATATCTGGTTTTCAGTCATTTCCAACAAAAAAAGTTATAAACAAAAACATACATTTTTCGTTCCAAGATGGCGGCGTTTGTTTACATTTTGTAGGATACGACGCAGTTTTGATTCCCAGCCCTGATTATGCTATTTATGAAGCAAGAAAAAACACGGAAGTAAATAAGCTGAACAATTTGAAGATTTTTTTTCCATGATATAATCATATTTCAAGAAATGAACAACATGTCCGGTTGCATATAGGTGACATTTGCAGTATTATTTTAACTGGTGGCCACGGCTTATCACATTGAGGCTTAAATATATTATCTCGAAGCCATGATTTATTATCTTGTGGCCTAAGGGGATCATTTCGTGGCCACGACTTATTATCTTGTAAACATGACCGATTATCTTATAGTTACAACTTATTATCTTTAGGCCTCGACATATCTCGTTGCCACGGGGCCACGAACTATTATCTTATGGCCACAACTTATTATCTTCAGGCCTCACAATATTATCTCGTTGCCACGAATTATATATTATATCGTGGCCGCAAGCCACGAGTCATGACTTGTTAACTTGAAGTCCCGACTTATTTTGGCCTATGAAATAGAGAAAAAAAGAATCCCTAAAGAAAGTCCAACACGGCAACATTGAAAGTATTGCAGGCTCGGTTTGATCGAGCTTGTTCATGGACGGTCTATCAAGTGCAAATTACCGTCCGGCTTAAGCAGAATTCAACATTTAACATGAACTGGTACAATTAAGAAATGGTCGTTTCATCATGAACAAACGTTAATATCACACTTGCCATAGCTTTTACAGTTCTAAGCGGCGGGTCAAATGCTGTTGCGGTTAACACGGGGAACGTTTTATGATTATTATTGTAACTCTTTCTCCTTTATTGTATGGTCAGGTTCTTTTATTCTTTTTTAAAGTATTTGATTATTTAGAAATATAAGCTGTTTTTGTAAACTGTATCGTTGATTCAAATCACTTGTTCCCTTTGCCTTCATGTGGATTTGAATCCCGTTAGAGACTGGTATCTAGATTATTATTGTTGAAGATATATAACGATCTCACAATGGTAAATGACTAACATTGACGGATTTTCTGATCTCAGTCTCTTTCTACATGTATTATATCAAAGCTGACAGATACAAATTTTAAAGACATATGTGAATTATTTTAAGATATTATTTGATTCTGTTTCCAAACATACCACTGTGTCTGACCTCATCTAAATTAAGATAAGGATAAGATATATTAGTTTGTTTTTTTTATTTTTCCTGAAATATTGGTATGTTTGCACTTTACGTGATTTAATTCTATATATTTCACTAGCCGTTCCGATTCATGAAAATATATGAAATTATATCATGTTTCGTGAATTCCATACATCACGCAAACGAGACAAAAATATTCTCCGAATATTTAAAAGCGAAATCCGAAAAATATCCTAGGTTATTTACAGCTTATATCATGAAAAAAGCACGTTAGTTTAACTTTTGAGGGTATTTCAAGCAGACTTTCATGGACAGTCATCGACAATCCATAATAACCGTAATGAATGACGTGTTTCACATGCTCTGAAATAGAAATATGACAGTACAATTTCGCTCTTCAAATAATCAATCTCATATAAAGGTAAAAAATAAATATATAATATTTATTTTTGCTTGATTATCCTAAGCCTATACTTGAAGTAAAGAATGTAACTTTTCTATTTGTCACCCATATATCATGAACTTATTTACATGATTATTGCAATGTCTGTTGTACTAAATGTAACCTTGACGAAATAAAAGAATTTTGTATATTGTTTTGTATTTATGATTAAGATAACTTTGAAAGTCTGGTCAATTTAATCAGATCTGACATCTTAAATAAAAACATGTATATATAATTTAAGTCAAGGGATCTAAGTGATAAAAACCATGTTCGCCATGCGGCGCTAAATGCACCATAAAACATTAAATGGCAACTCTTTAAAGTTTTCGTTGAAGATACGCAGATATTTGGTCTTAATGGTGTTCATTAAGAGTGATTTATTTTTCAAAATAAAGATTTAGTTAAGTCTGTTATCTGCAATATCTACTCATTTCTTTGACACGTATATATGATGAATGACGCAATTTTTTATGATAATTATTATTTATGTTATTATTCTTTATTGTTTGCTTCAGTTTGTATAAAGATTAATAATCATTTCGTGGATAAAGAC